ACATCAACGTCTAAAGAAAATAAGAGGGAAATTAACACAAGGGATAGAAGGGGACTCCGAGGTCTGCGAACACGGGCAGATGTGCCTTGAAGTCTCCTGAAACAGCAACCACACAGCTAGACTCGAGGCTGATAGCTAGTACCTAGATCTGCACACGGAAAACATGTGTAGGAAATGGTATGAGTACACCACAACGGTACCTAATAAGTACCAAATCTAACCTCGGTCGAGTAGTGACGAGATCAGGTCAGGGCCCTACTAGTATAAATATAGTGAAATAAGACAGAAATAATAATACAGTAAAAACTAAATACGAAAATCTAACATGAATAGTATTCAATGAAAACCAACAACTCAAAATGCAGTAATAGCAACAGGGGATCTCCCGAGAAATTGTCCCGTAGTCCTAAACGTAAATGTGCAGGGGGTCTCCTGGAATACCGTTCCGTAATCCCAAAGTAAATATGTAGTGCTTTCCGGAATACCGTTCTATAGTCCCAAAGTAAATATGCAGTACAGGAGGATCTCTCGGAAAACCGTTCTGTAGTCCCATAGTAAATATGCAGTACAACCAACATAGATAACAGTTACAATAAGAAAATCACAATTTAGGCTAAGTCCGAGTCAAGGAAAAACATGAAATTTCACTCAAAACATATTACAAAGAGTTCAGATAAGCAGCTAAGGCAGTTAAGGCACGTAAGCATGCTTTCCTAAACTAAACAGGATAATTACATATGCTAGTATTGCTCAATTAAAGGAAAACAAATATATGTTTAATGAAAACGGGGTTTTTCAACAAATAGCCCGTGTACGCACTCGTTACCTCACGTACATGGCGCTCATAAAACAAACAGTACCAAATCCTAAGGGGAGTTCCCTCACACAAGGTTAGGCAAGCCACTTACCTCGAACCAAAGGCCACTCAAAACTCAATCACAGCTTTGCCTTTCAAATACGCCTCTGAACCAACAATATCTAGCAAATTACAAACCAAACGTTTCAAAATAAGCATTAGGAATCACCCACGATAACAAAGGACTCAATTTAGGTCATTATTGAAAAAGTCAACAAAATTCAACACCCGAACCCGCTTGGTCCAAATCGTAAATTTGGACCAAACCCGATTACCCGTTCACCCCCCGAGTCCGGATATACAATTGGTTTTGGAATCTAACCTCAATTTGAGGTCTAAATCCCCAAATTTCGAAATCCGTAGTTTCTACCCAAAAATCCTCAATTCCACCATGAAAACCTTAGATTCTAGGTTGAAATCTTTTAAAATGAAGTGAAAGATTGAAAAAAACTAGTTAAGATTCACTTAGCTATGATTTAGGGAAGAAGAAGTCATTGGAAAATCGCCTTTTATGTTTTAGGTTTTTAAAATTTGAAGAATAAATGAAAAATTCCGTCCAAAAGTCATTTTGATCAGTTGTTGGTGTCGCATTTGCGACCTGGGGTTAAAAAATGCGAGCCCGGTAAATGCGAAGAACCTATCGCAAATGCGAAAGTCTCCCCATTCATGTGCGATGAAAGTCTCACAAATGCGAGCCTGACCTTCCGCAATTGCGACCAATTGATCGCAGTTGCGATCCCTGCCATTCCCAGACTTCCTTCACAAATGCGAAGGGAAGTTCGCAATTGCGAACACTGCTGGCCCAACTCCTCCTCGCAAATGCGGACTCCTCAGAGGTCGCAATTGCGATGCCTGATCTTGCAAATGCAAGATGAGAGGCCTGCAACCCGCTCAGTTACACCAGCAATTATTTTCCAAGTTCAAATCACTCAGTAGCCTATCCGAAACTCACCCGAGCCCTTGGGGCTCCAAACATAACATGCACACAAGTCTTAAACATCATACGAACTTGCTCGCGCGATCAAATCGCCAAAATAACACATAGAAACACGAATTTTGCACCAAATCGAATGAAATTCTCAAGAACACTTTGAAATTTTTATTTTCTTAACCGGACGTCCGAATCACGTCAAACCAATTCTGTTTTTCATCAAATTTCACAGACAAGTTTTAAATATTATATTGAACCTGTACCGGGCTCCGGAACCAAAATACAGACCCGATACCAACAAGATCAAACATTAAGAATTTCTAAAAAATATTAAATTTCCAGACACTCAATTTTCAACAAAAATTTATAACTCGAACTAGGGACCTCCTATTCCGATTCTGGGCATACGCCCAAGTCCTATATTTTTATACGAACCCACCGGGACTATCAAAATACGAATCCGGGTCCGTTTATTAAAAATATTGACCGAAGTCAACTCAAATAAAGTTTTTAAGAAAAATCCTTATTTTTATCAACTTTCAACATAAAAGCTTTCCAGAAACATGTCCGGACTGCGCACGCAAATCGAGGAGAGATAAAATATGATTTTTAACCCCTCGAAACACAGAATTTGATTTTAATTCATAAGATGACCTATCAGGTAATCACAATTAGTTTGTATAATCTATCTCATACTATAATATACATAATTACTAATATTTATATAACTTAAAGTTTTATATTTATTAAGATGGAGTACACGCGCAAAGCGTATACCCTAATATTAGTATTAGTACTATATTAAAAGAACGAAATCCCTTAGCGAAATATCGTTCGTCTTTTTTACCCTTTTGAAATAGAGTTCATATTAAACAAATAGTCATTTAATTATTTTTTTTAAATATTTAAGACTTTAAAATCAACTAAAACTTTTACTTATTAAATCTTTTCTTGTTTGAACCATATAAAAATCCTAATATTTAAGATTTATAAATCAATTAAAATATAACATTATATAAATTAATTGCTTATTTAAACATGTAAAATAACAAGACTTCTTACAAATTATATTTCGTGGTACTTTATTTCAAAACAAACTTAATTGGTAATGAATTTGGTTTTGGTGTAAATAAATGACTATGAGGAACCAACGACTCTCTCTTCTTAAACAATCTATATATTCCATACTTAATCAGCATTTGATAGATTATCCAACCCCGAGTAATCTTAGTTATTAGTGGGGGCTCGGTTCGTTAGCTGGTATTTTTTTAGTCATTCAGATAGTGACTGGTATTTTTTTAGCAATGCATTACACATCTTATGTGGATCTAGCTTTCAATACGAGAACACATTATGAGAGATGTTGAATAGGGCTAGTTTCATCAGTTTGGTTTCGATTTTTACCTAATTTAATTTTATCCCTTTTTTCAATTAGGTTCTCACATTTTAAAATCTTTTTTGTAACTCATTGTTATTAGAGTTTAGATTCTTCATAATATATGCCCCCTCATTTTTTCCTTTTCCCGTTTCAGCCCCTTCTTTTAATTAAAAGTTTATATTCTTTTCTATTTTATTCATGTGGTCGATAGCTCAAAAGTTACCAATTTCTTTGTACTTTTCAATTATTCAAAAGTTAATTATAAACAAAGACGTCAATCTTGGTACAACTTAATAATATATGCACACTTAATAAGTAACAATATTTTAATTAGAAATCATACTTAACTAACTTTATTTTATTATCATAGTTGCATATTGATCCAATTAAATATCCAGTAAAATAACATCATCATTTATAATATATTCTAAATTTAAATGTCTAGCCATAACTTTAATTTTATATTATAACTCCAAATAAAATTTTCAAGAATATGCATACATTTAGTTTATTATATTAGGTGTCGTTGGTTGAAATGGCAATATATTTTTAGTTTGAATTGTTTTTTCACATTTTCATTAATATTTACAATTCATAAATATTGGATAATTCTATAAGACATGATTCCTTCCTTAAGTGAATAAGCTAAATAGGATCAACAATTTAACATTTACCATTTTTATAAATTTACGATTTTTTTATTCTATTTTATAACTTAAATATATTTTTTCAATATTATTTACGTGAGTTTTAAAAGTTTGGGCACATTGACACAAGGTACATGCGCATCGCACGTATAATAAAACTGGTATTGTAGAAAGTCGCTAGGAAGAAACAAAAGGATATGGTAGTTGGGGCATAGTAGTACTATTATTTTTTTGGTACAAAAGAAATGATTGAATTTTTTGTTAAAAAATTGTACTGTGTGGGTAAGTTGTGTGATACTTTTCTTTCTCTTACGGAATAGTGAACCCTAATTTTACACTTTTGGACCTATAAATTTGAGTCTATTTTTTTGGAAAGAAGCCACATAATAATTTTTTTCAATATGCTTAGCTCCCGCTTGGCCATAAAATTTGGGAGTTTTTTTACTAATTTTATTTTCAAATATCTGTTTGTTTATAAATTTTAACAATCTTTTGGCAGATCTTAAAAACAAAATTTCAAATTCCAAAAACAACTCTAGAGTCGTTTTTGAAGTTTTTTAATAACAAAACTTTAAATTTTTCAAATAAAATGCATGTCCAAATACAATTTTAACTTTCAAAAATTATTTTTATCGCATCTTTAAAAACTCTTTTTTTCAGGTTTGTCCAAATGCTAGCTTAGTAAAATTGATACGTTTTTTTATGAACAGTAGTTTATTACGTGACTATAATAAATTAAATTTTACAGCTTGTTTGGATTGTTGTTACCTATTGTATCGTATCGTGTTTTTACTTTAAATACGATGTTTGTTTTGATTATTACTTAAATTTTATTGAATCATATCGCTAAATTCGTCGTTACGTAACGACTAAATGTGTCACTTTATGTAACGACCGATTTTGTGTGATCGCGTCATTACCTTATCTTTTTCTCTTAATCTCACTCTTCATTATAAATTTATAATTAAATAATTTTATTTTATCATTTATCCTATATTTTCATATAATAATTTTACCCGTATCATAATTTTTATTTATAATATTGCACGTTTATTCTTTATATTACTAGTGTATTATATCATCAAACAATATTTATATAGTGTCCAAACATTATATTCATCAAACAACATAATGCAACCGAATTTAACCTTTGTTTCATGGTCAAAGGGAGAGAGAGTTTATGCATTTTTATAGTAGTTGGTTTTTGAGTTCCTTTCCTAGTTTAATTTCAAAATTTACTAGTACTAACAGCTCCTTGAGCACCCTGCTTTAGGGTTTTCAGAATGAGCATTAGTGCAGTGGTTGCAGAGAAGGTGTGGGAAGGTATCCAATCAACTCATTCAGGTCTTTTCTTGAACCAACTACCTCACAATCTCTAATTATTTTTGGGCTTATATCAAAACGGGTAGCACTGTAGTAATGCTAATTTGTTTTGGGGTTTCTATTTTTCATGATCTTGATTGATTGGTGATGGGGTTGCTACAGTGAACGATGACCAACTTTCAATGTCAGTATTAAATGTTGTCTTTGTTTCTTGTTCCTTTGAATTCCAATTTCATTCATATGATTTCTGGTACTATACATTGTGTAGATTGCATTTCTTATTTGGGAAAAATTTCGAGCGAGCAACGAGGATAGTTGATCAAAGAGGCGTAAAAAGGATCTTGGGCAAACCCAGTGGTCGTTCCATCTTTAAGGTCCAACCCCTCTTTAGCTTTTTGAGTTGTTTATGAATAAAGTATTAGACTTGCCTTTTTTCCTCAGGTTGTAGGAGAGTCAAAGAGGAAGGAGGAATATCTATGCTTTCCAGAACATTATTGTGCTTGTTATTCCTTCTTCTATGACATTGTAAACAGAGGGGAACAGCTTTCTGTGAGATCTACCGACCCTCTTTCTCCGATGTCTTTTGTCCTTTCTTTTTCCTTCGTCAAAAGATAGCAACATTTGATTCCTCTTTTTGTCCAGTGTAAGCATCAATTAGCTGTCAGACTTGCTTCTTCGTTGGGAGCATGCGTTGATTTTACGATCTCTGATGATGAGCTTGCTCTCATGCTCTCCCAGCTTTGAATGTGCAAATTTCCGGGTAATGCTTAAATGTTTGAAATTGGATAGCACTTACAAAATTCGTCTATGGTAGAAACTACTTCAATGCTGCAAAAGTCTATCACCTCTAATACGACAACATAACTGGGGGAACATGCATTCACTTCAGTATAATAGTCTAATACTGAGCATGAGTACTCCTAATTGATTTTGAAAACTACATCTAAATTTATTATTATTATTATTATTATTATTATTATTATTATTATTTTAGTTCTTTGTTGGTTCATTAGTTATATAAAAAAGGGGTTTGCCTTTCTGAATTGCCACTTTTAGATTATGGGAATAAATGGAATTCAAGTTCTAAAGGGGCGTTTGCACATGCAAACAAGCATAGAGTGTGTTAGTCTGTTTGTGCAGTATCAAACAGTACACCATCGCCATGGGCGTGAAATGATTGAACTTGATTTACTTATACTGGTAAATCTAGTGTCAAATTGTCACTATGTCTTGAATATAATGGGAATTCTTCTTATACACTATCTCACCCTTGTCAAATATCTTGTAGTCTGATTTGCATAGAACTTTTAAGTTTGAGGTGGCTTTATTCTGCCCCAAGTATTTTACCTTTTCATTTGTAATTCAAAGTTTTTTTTTAAAAACCGATTTGCTAGTAATTTACTAGTAATCTTTATCAACCATCTTAACCAACATGCTCTTAACTGAAATGACCATTCTAGAAGAAATAGTTTTTCTATGAATGTTCTTGACAGACAACTCTCCTATTCTCTTACAGAAATAACCATTCTAAAACAAAGGCCAAATCATGGGGATGTTCAGCAGTATGAAGGTGTTCATTGTTTTTTGAAATTGACTGGCATAACTTTCTCTGAAAACTAAAATTTCTATGTTCAGGTAACCCTAAATTTATAATCCACTGTTGTCCACATATTTGTTTGATGCTAAAACCATTGTTGAGCGATGTCTGCATTACTCCTCTGGGCTTCTCTTTTGCAATTATACGTACTTATAAGATTGCTACTCGTTTCCAGAGTAGAATAAGGTTTCACGGTGTTCAAATGATTATCATGATCAGTGATCTACTTATGCCTCTTGATTATTTTTCTACCATTTTAGCCGTTCCGAGTAAAGTTGAAGTTTCTTTTTTGGTCCTCAGAATGAGGTAACTGTCAAAGACCTTGTGTATTCTAGTTGTTGGACAGCATGTATTGTGTTAGGAAAATGACAGAGAAATTGAGGCTACTTTACCTCTTAATGCGTATNGGTGAGACTCATACTAATTAATAGTGTGTTAGACGTGGAATGCCAACCTACCTGATGTCCTTGTTCCCTATGCCTGCAATAGTGGAGAAAAAAATGAATTCCATGAGAAATCAATTTCTATGGGATGCCATTGCCATAAAAAGGAAGATGCATTTAATTAGATGGCAAATGGTGTGGACTGGCAAAAAAGTGGAGGTCTAGGTGTGAAAAATCTGAGATTATATAATAGGACCCTACTCTTCAAATGGCTATAGAGGTACATGTTGGAAGGTGATGTAGTTTGGAAGAGGTTGATGAGTGTTATTTATGGTAATAAGGGAGGGTGGTGGCCTCCCTCTTTGCACATGAATGCAAGAGGGGACATATGAAACTGTATCATAGTAAACTAGAAGTTGGAAACGGACAGAGAATCAAGTTCTAGATGGACTTTTTATTGGTAGGGAGGAATGCCTGAAGTCTAAATTCCCTATTTTGCTGAGTTACTCTATTAATAAGACTGGAACTATTGCTGATTTTTTCTTAGATTCAGGATGTCAGATTGTACTTGGAAGAAATTTGAATGATTGGGAGGTAGAAGACTACTGTCTTTTACTTCAACAGTTAGAATCGGTCTAGATTGATCATAACAAGCTGGATTCACCTATGTAGACATAGTATGTTGATCAAGAAGTCAAGTCATAGAACACTGTCAATTGGCCATGGAGGATGATTTGGAAGACAAAAGCTCCAATAAAGGTAGCATGCTTTGGATGGATAGCAGTTTGGGAAGGCCTGTTTGACGCAAGATAACTTGCAGAGAAGGGGCTTCAATGTATGTAACAGATATTATCTCCATTGCCGAGTTTCTAGATAACACTGGGAAATACACTTAAACATCTGTTGTGTTGCCTGGGTGAAGCGTAATGAGATTGCGATAATAGTGGCAATCCCAGAGAGTACCCAAAAGGCTGAAGCAGATATGGAGATCCATCCCAGTATGCATCTTATGGACCTTATGGCTGGAAAGGAACAAGGCCTGTTTTGAAGGACACAGGAATCACATTTCTAAACTTAATACTAATAAAATAAATGTATTCGTGATCTGTGTTATTGGTGTAAGGGCAGCTTATTAGTGAATCTGTTTCAGTTTATGGATTTTCTGGATTTGTTAGGAGGGATGTAGGGGATGATAACTGCTTCTTGGATGCTCTTTGTTCTTTTCTGTACCATCTTGGTACCTGATGAATAAGCTTTACCTTATTTAAAAAGAAGGTAGTTAATAAGGAAGCAAAAGATCTATTTGGTCAATCAAGAAACTCTATGTAAAACTTTTTTTATCAGGAAAAAGATAAATTAGGATATAATTATCTTTTTAAAGAACAGCAGAGCCTGCTGGAAACATTTGAATATGTAACTAGAGGTTCGAAATTTAACAAGATAGCTAATAAGGAAGCAAAAGATCTACTATTTGGTGAATCAAGATACCCTATTTAAAACTTTATATCGCCGAAAAGATAAATCAGGATATAATTATCTTTTCTAAAGGACTGCTGCAAACATTTGAATAATTAATTATCATATGTCATAATGTAGGGTCTACGTCTTCTCTTATTGATCGTATCCATGTTTCTTATAGTTGAAGCCATTTTTTCTCCAGCTTTATATTGCAGGTTGAAGCATCAGCTTATCCTGCAAGAAATCCAACGATCATGCGTTTATAGTAAAGTGAGGTTCTGGACTTTGGAACTATTGCTTTACTTTATGAAGACCATATTCTTTTGGAATTTACAACAAAGTAATCAGATATAATGGCGCCAATCATCTAACTCTCTCTTGCATTGCACCGAAGGGGGATCGAGGGATCAGTATTTGATCTCAATTGTTTGATTGATGTGCATAGTTAAGAAAACATCTTGCGATATATCATTGTTTCAAAAAATTATTATACATAGTACAGAAACATCTAAAGCTGTTATTATTTCAGAAATCATTCTTCTTCTGCATCCGTTTCAGTTACTGTAAGCTTATGTTGTCTAATTGTACCTTTGATTGCACCTTTTGAGACATATTGAAATCTTGATGCTTCTTGTGAAAGCCTAGTACGTAACTTGGATCGCCATAGAGTTGCTCCTTGCCTAGTATAATAGTAATGGAGCTTCCATTTTTTTGTATATTATCTCGTTGAAACATTGAATAAGGTGGAGGCATTTAATTGAGTTTTACCATTTCTGATCTCTTTATTTTAAACCCCCAAAAATCTGTGCATGTGGTACTTTCAACTGAGAATAGTAGGAACAGCTAGGCCAGAAACTGGACTGAACTTACTAGGCCCTGTATTTTTAATGTGAATAATTATCTAAATTAATTGACGACTTCAATTTGAAAACAAACCAAAAAAGAAAATTGACAGTTCAGCTGGTTACAAGAGGAGACTCTCTAGGTCGAACTGAGATCCAAAATGCATCATATTTTTAGGAGTGAAACCACAACTAATGCTTGTTTTGCGCTATATGTATGTACATGGTGGAGTTTAATGCCACAGCAATGTGCTTGAGTTGGTGTTAAGTTAATATAAAGTCTCGTATCAGGTATACAAGCGCATCCTAGTCATCGGTATTCTGATTTTGGTCGTAACTATTTAACTTGTACCTACTTTTCCTAAAATATTTAGTTGGTGCCCAATTTAGCGAACACTTCAGATGCTGCTTTTTCCATGTTTTCTGTTTCTTCCGTCTTTTCCTTCTTATGTAAAACCGCTGTGGAAGACTTGTAGCTTTCTTCCTCACCATTTCATTACCAGATTTTTCCATCTTCTCCTTCTTATGTAAAAGCGCATGTCACCCCAATTTCCCACCTTAGGATATCATGATGCCACCTAGTCTCTAAAATTAGATAAATCTAATACATGCTAATTTAATAACAGAATTGAACTATTTAATTATTTATTATAAACCATTAATTGACACACATAGCCGCAAGCGGCCAATAGTTATATATTTCCCAAAACCGATATTACGAAGTCATAAACACTACTAAAACACACTAAAATTTCTAAACACAACTATTTTAAATTTCAATTTAATAGTAGCATAATGAAGTAAGAAGGTGACTCCGGAACATGCGAACGTCAAACAGGTATACCTTGAAGTCTCCCGCCGCGCAGACGATACTCGCAACAACACAATCAGAATACCTGGATCTGCACAAAAATCTGCAGAAGCATAGCATGAGTACACCATAACGATACCTAGTAAGTATCAAGCCTAACCTCAATAGAGTAGTGACGAGGCCAGGTCAAGACACCTACTTGACATAGAAACATGTTCAAGATATACGTAAGCTAACAATTGAGAGAACATCAAAGTAAGACCAACGGCTTGATTTACAACCAACAATGAAGTAATACAAACATAAATGGCAGCAAGTAGTAAACGACTAATAAAGAAATAACATAATCAGAATACCGATGAGATGTAAATGAATTCAAATAAGGAAAAAAACGGATGTCAACTCAAATAATCAAATCGTTCCCAATGCATGGACTTACAACAAGAATTACTCCGAGACACCACACCTCATAAATCAGAAGTCATGAACCACGTTTTTCAAATCTTACACATGTGGTACCTCGTGCCCACAATAACAATCACATTCGCATGGCAAAGCCTACGTGCTACCATGTACTTTGCAATCATGATAAATATTAATTTAGATGAACGAAAAATATATTTAGACACCATAAAACATAATAATAATCTTGAATAAAGTAAGGTGTCAAATGAAATAATGAGTTTAATTTAGAAGTCATGTAAAGTAAAATAATATACAGTTTGTACAAAACAGAGTATAAGATGGGTTTAGTTTAGAAATAAATGGAATTGAGTAAAAGTATCATTTTTAAACAAAGCAAAACATAAGTTAAACTAACGAATTAAATACAGAATTTGTTAAAGAAAAACATGATAGCAATTTTAAGTAAGGTAAACATCTAACAAGGTGATGAGTATAATTTGAGAACCCAATTATAGTGAAAGTGCAATAACCATTTAGAATAATAAGGCACCGAGTGAGATAACGAGTTCTATCTTAAGAGGCTCATAGAATAAAGCATGTTAATAATTCTTTTATTTAAACTATTATGTTACCAACAACTCAAAAGAATATGATACAATGACTCCACACTATTAAATTCACATTGACAATCAATTCACCAAGTTATAATGGAGGCACAAATTGGCATGTTAAAACAAGATAACAAATCATGTAAAATGCATGACTTACACAAGAAAACACAATTGTTCCAACACAAAGATAACAACGAATGACCAAAACATAATCAAAATGCGGATTAATGATTGAAGGAAGAGCAATGACCGTTCAAATCAACAAGTTGTTCCAACATGGAATGTAAAATGAAAATTACAACCGAGGTACTGTCTCGTATTCCCATTTCACAATTTCAATAACAATATTTCCTTATATCACTGCATGAGCCTAACATTTAGTTTTGAAAATTATTTTTCCCGAAATAGCTACATGTATTTTAACCCACCATATCTCACCATGTGGCTTCAAGTAGTTCCCCTACTAGCAGCATGCGTATCAAGCCCACCTTATCTCACCGCATGCGTATCAACCCTAGCCTTATACCACCACATGCGTATCAATATCGCAACATAATCATAACTCGCACCACAAATACCCATATGCCACAACTTGCCACGATATCAACAACACCAATATTTTCACAACAAATAGCTCATGGCTCAACCACAATGTATACAAGAATTTCAACAATAATAAAATGAATGAGAATGCTCAACAAGGAAAGGTATCTCCACAATTAACAACTTCGCCTCAATGTGATAATAGATATTACAACTTCAACACCAATAACTCAATAAGATGATATTTTACGAAATAACAACTTCAATTAAAAGTTATTCAATAATTAAGAGGTAATAAGACAATAAGGATGACAATAACTTCAACTAAAGTATATAAGAGCAAATTAACAAGTAAGAGGCAGAGTATGTACTAACAACGTCAAATAGAACGTGTAAGAGTAGATTAATAATGACAGAGATAATATGTTATGTCAATTCAATTAATGGTATGGAAAGAGTCTAGATAATCTAAACCGGTCAAATACCACATATAGCCCGTGTACCCACTTGTTACCTTGCGTACATGGCTTTCATATAACACAAATAGCACAATCAACCCAAATCCTAAGGGGTAGTTTACCCCACACAAAAGCAAGATACTTGCCTCAACTAGGCCAACACAACCCTCCGAAATATATTTCCCCCTAATATTCGCCTCCACTTGGCTCAAATCTAACCAAAAATGACTTAATAACATCAAACAATGCAAGAGAAACCAATTACAATAAATAAAATTATGATCTTTATATGTTCTCCAAAAAGTCAAGAAAGGTCAACTTCAGGCCCGCCTTGAATTCCGAATCCAAGCTTACCCGAGTGAAGTTCGAACAAAAACAAGCTCACACAAATAAAAATTGGCTTAATCGGAGTTCGTTAGCTCAACCAATTCACCACCCATCGTTCTTGGGTGTTCATAACCCAATAGTCCAACCCACACTAGATGGGTCCCATATCTCTCGAAATACTACTCCAAAACTAACCCAATTATGTTTTCCTAATATAGGAGAACAAAACCTCAAAAGGAATCAAGAAATAAATGCTTCTAACTCATTTTCAATTTTTAAAAATTTGGACATAACCCTAGCTCTTGATTTAAAGAATTAAATGAGTTTTTAATTAAAATCATGGATTAAAGCTTAAACCAAGGGAATGAATCAAAGGAAAACACTTGGGTTATGGTTTAGACCTTACCCCATGGAAGAAACTTGAAGAGCATCCTTGAACTCTCCCAATCCTAAACTTTCAAGATAAGAAAAACTCCAACAACATTAATAGCCAAAAATGTCCATATGTTTTGCCTCGTTTCTTGTGCCAAAGACTCCTAAAACTTGCTTTTGAGGCCTCCAATGGATTCCTCATAAAATTCCAGTCAAGTTCAAATTTTGAATCACTCCATTTGACCTTATAATAAAGGAGATATGTTGGTTTCAATATTTGAAAATAGTGAAAAAATTTAAATACAAATTTAGTGGCAATTTCGTAATTAATCTAAAAAAATAGCAACCTAATTTTTAGTAAAATGATCATAAATTCCTCATACGATGTTGAAACTTGATAATTTTAGTTGCTATAGTTCAAAAATTACGACACGTATATAATGATTTAGTCGAAACACGAATCAAAGGCCGTTTGCTCAATATGGTAACCTTTATGCTCATATTAACGTTGAAACCGAAAACAATCGCCATACCACCCAAACTTATCCAAAACTCATTGGAATTTAACCAAACTTTGTGGACATGTCCAAAATCATCATACAAACTTATTAGAATAATTAAAACCCGATTCTGAGTCTGTTTACCCAATAGTGAAACCTTGGTCAACTCTTCTAGCGTAAAGCTTCTAAAACGAGAATTATTCTTCCAAATTAATCCCGAACCGCTCGAAAATCGAAACCAACCATGCACACAAGTCATAATACATAATACATAATATGAAGTTACTCAAAGTCCCAAACCACCGAATGGGATACTAAAGCTCAAAACGACCTGTCGGGTCATTACAGTGCCATAGAAGACTTGTAGCTTTCTTTATCAACATTTCACAAGATTCAAACTACTAAACTTCATGGAAACTGCATGAAATCAGTCGCGAGCTCTATCATGAATCCACCTAAAAATACCATAGTCCATGCCAACACTGGATGACCACACATTATCCATCCACTACCCAATCATAGCTCTGCCAGTTTTGAAGTTTTGCACTATATCATTTGAAGTAGTGTCTAGAGTATAATAGAATTTCACACCTGATTCTAAAGTTTCATTGAAGCGCAGAGGCGGCTCAACCCCAAGGCAGCTAAATCCAAAGCTTTAGGCCCCAAAAAATATATGGCCCCAAAAATTACTCATATTACATATACAATATATATTTAAATAATTACTCCTATTGTTTTTATAATGGTAAGTAAATCCGTTGATCAACCAT